GGGGGGGAGGGCTGGGGTTGATATTCTATTGCTGCAATCTTAATCTTCACTCGCCACAATCTGATTGCCTGGAGCAGGCCTCAAACAAATACTTTTTTATCTTTCACAGTCGTTTTGCTTTACTGTCAAAATTATACTCGGGAGGAGACAACCAAGTATCAGATACAATTATAAGCGGCTATTGCCAGGAGCCCATCACTATTGCCCAACTGATGGGGTTGCGTTGCATTTTTTGTTTGATGTCTAAGGAAATAACAATTTTATTTATTCCTTCCCCTGTTAATAAAATTCATTTTTGGCATGCAGTGAATCAAGGTTTTTAGCTAGGATTCTGTGAGTATAATATATAATGTATATAATAATAATATATTAATATAATGCCTTTGAGGAATACTCTAGGATCTTAGTGCTTGCAAGCTGGGCACGCCGAGAACAATCACAACGTAACCGCGAAGAACTGTGAAAAAGTCTACGTGTTTAAAGCGTGCGCCGTAGCGTTGCCACTACTTATTATCCAACTGCAGCGAATACTGTCCAAATAACAGTACAAATATACAGCGATATTGTACAGTTAGTTGCACATGTTTTGGTGTGTAGCTAGTATCGCTGTATATTTTTACTCGTTGTTTGTATTTTGACTCGCCCGTCAAAATACGGCACAACTCGTAAAAACATACAGCGACTCGGCTACACACCAAAACATCTAATAAGATATATATAGTCAAAGCTAGAGTAGTCCAGGATATTCTTGCGTTGGCGCAGTGGACACGTACTGCACAACGGGGCTGTATTTCATTGAATACTGGATGGTTTCGTATGTATTGTGACCCCTAGTCTCCATGTTTCCCGAGTTTCTTTTGCAGTTTCTTATTTTCATGATTGGTACTAAGTTGCTTGTCATTTTCTTTTTTAACTCACCTTTTGGGGCTGGAGTGGGTGGAGGTGGTGGAGTGGTTGGAGCTGAAAAGAAATTATAAAAAATGAAAACATTAAAATGCATAGCATAGCACCAATAAAGAGGAAAGCGCACGCTTGTCTTTGGAGGGTGTGAAGCGTCTGCTCGCACTTAATTAATAGAGCTGTAGCCAGTATGAGGTAAACCGAGGTACTTGCTTCAGTCATTTTTTCCGCTTATCTTGTTTTGAAGGGGGTAATTAAAACATAGACATATGCATTGGACATTGGACATTGGAGTTTGGTTTGTGGTTTTTTTGCAGAGGATGTTCGACGACCAAGAAATCTTCCAAGAATTATAACGCATGTGCAAAGCCATTGTTCTGCTCATTAAACCTTTTGTTCAGCGAAGTTTCCGTTGCCATTGCAATGTTTCTTAAACTCCCTAATTTTTTTTCTCGCTACGGCCCTGACCGTGACTGTTGAACAGCAATGGATGAGCGCTAAACCAACATACGAAAAACTCTCAACATATTTATTAGCTCCAGAGAGGATGAAGGATAAGAGAGTTAACTGAATAATAATAATAATAATAATAATAATAATAATAATAAATTAACATTTTTAGATGAGGTCTCCAATCACCTCGAGGTGGTTTTCAGGAGGGTCCTCTGAAAAATAAAAGTCTAAAATATACATCAAATGTCTAAAATACAGAAGTTCATCCTCCATGTAGGCCTTACTCCTAAGGTCATCCCTATCAAGTTATTTTAAGACCTGATATCCAGGTCTTCCGCAGATAATCTTATCACGTGACATGCGTCGCGTGGATATTTTCTTTGGAGGATCAAAATACGTGCAAAGCAGTATGGGTTGTCCTCGCGAACAAAATTCGCATCATAGGATTGGCCGCTATCTCTAGGCCCGAAACCGTGAGTAGTGATCTAAAAATGACTAAAAAGGATAACTTTGGGAATAAGTCTCTTATGGGTCTCTTTATGTATTTTCTTACCTTCGCAGTTGCCACAGCTTGCGTAGCAGTTGGTCTGCATAAATTTCACGTATGTGACGCTGCAGTAACCTTTCGCCGCCCATCCTGGACAATGAAGGGGATATTTGTCTAGCTGGTCGTCAGTGCACACTGCAAATTGAAGAATATCTCGAATGGGAACGTTTCAAAAGACACAGAAAAAGCTTAACAAAAGTGATAATTCTTTATATAAACCCAGGGTATAAACTACTAGTTTTCTTTCAAGAAATAATGAAGTTTCCCCTTTTGAAGTGATGCAAAGTCTTGTTTATCACCTTGCTTTTAGCATACCAACTACGTGTCGTAAAACCGAATCTAACGTAGCCAATCACAATCACAGACAACACAATGGTCGTTCAAAACTTGAGGAAAATATATGTAGCTGAAGCGAAATGCGGGAAAACGTGTTCGAACAAGTTACAAGGAGTGTTATTTTTGATCGACCCTCATTTTTCGAAGTGTTACCGTGTTAGCTGTAATGGGGGTGCGTGCTCGTAAAAACTGGCGAGCTGCCGGCAAAGGTCCATGTCACGGACATATACTTTTGTAAATATTAAAGCGTGCTCAATTGTTGTACGAATCACGTGGGTATCCAATTACAGGTACCACTTACAATAAAATGTAATTGGATACCTGTAATTGGATCCGCACGCGATCACGTGCCAATTATGTGACAAATAGGCGCGCAGAGAACCAATCACGATCGAGAATTTCGTTATAGATACGATTTGACACACATAACATCTTGCAGACATCCTATTGGCATCGAACATGTGCTGTTTTTGTTGTTTTTTTGGCTAGTTTTTTCGTTATGGCCGAAAAGCATGTAATTGTATTGAATTCACAAATTTTCAACCTACAAAATTATCTTCTTTATTTTGAAAACCTTAGCCTCGGATTTATTCTTAAAATATTCTTACAATTTCGCAAATTTCAGCCTCTATATTTTTATAAAATATATTCTTTAAAAATATAGATAGGACCCTACGCGCGTTCTGATTGGTCAAAAACTTATGTTTTATCACAGTATAAAACATAGAGAAAGCGTGTTTTATTGTTTTGCGCGTATAAAATCTATATCATAGCAAATGAAGAAGCCTAAACCGTGTATTACACTGTGATAAAACACTCCGGACATTTGAGAGCACTCGAGAAATGTAGAAAACGCTCGCCAGCGGCTCGTGTTTTCTACATTTCACTCGTTTTCTCAAATGCCCGTCGCGTTTTACCACAGTGTAATACACGGGTTAGGCTTCTTTATTTGTTAAATAAAAAAGAATGTATTTGGAATGTTCATGAAAACAGAAAGAAAACTGTAACCGTGGACGCTACTTACTAGCTCTTTTTTCAACAAGTTTCTCCTCTTGAGAGACATCCGCAGGAAGCTTTGGTGCTGGGAATAAGCGTTCTGGGGCGCCATCACTGGTGGCTTGAAATACGGCGAGGAACAAACCAATCAAACAGATGTTCATCGTTCTTGGAATATCTTTCAAATAAAAAAAGGGAAGTTATGTTAACATTGCAAACAGGTGACGCAAGCAGTAAGAAAAGGCAAACCAATATAGCTTACTATTGGAAGCTCTTGGCTTGGGGCTAATAATCATATATTAATTATATTTAGTCACAGGTCGTTCGCGAGAAAAATTGGAAATCAGGCTTACAATTTAAAACTGAATAATATTGTATTTAATCGGCGCAAATTGAAGAATTAGAAGATTATGCTGTTGAAACGTAACATTTGTGGATATCGTACTGTTCTTCCCTCAGTTATATTCATCTCCCCAAAAGGTAATATTAGTTTAAAACGCCGTTCTTTGACGGAGCTGGTGAAAGCTTAATGTTTGCCAGGGTGTTGCTCGACCCCTTTAAAGGGGTCCAAGATCTTTTTCTTTGCCTCGCCTGCATGGTGCCCCTTTTCCTTTCTTGGGGTTAGCACGCTTTAAACTAACTCAGAAATGATTCTCCACCATTTCATGCTCGACCGCACAACGGAACTCTAATAAAGAACCCAAAGGATTGACATGCGATAACAAAATAATAAAGTACACAATTTGTTTTAGACTCGATTCTTCCATTCCGTAATATGAATTTAAATTGACTGAGGTGGGCGACGACACTTCTAAACAGAACTTACCTACCCGGAGATGTGCCAACTAAATCTCAAACAAGTGAAATATATTGCTTGTTATACATGTATTTATACATTCATCACCAGTTATATCCGCCAGTGCCTGCATTCGATTTTAAAATATTGTTCGGTTGTATGTGTTGTCATCACTTAAAGTGTACTGCATTTCAGTTACACAGATGTCTCGAATGGCTACCCTCTCGTAAACGACAAACAGTGGCTTTGTAAACTTCTCAGAGAGAGACTTTTGTCAGCTGTGTAGCAAACGACAAAAAATTTTACCGAGGTAAAGCATTATATAATACGGTAGGCCGTGATAAATTTGACAAAACGCTTAGGCCCTTTCCTGTTTCGAGGTTTCGGGCTTTCCTTACAGTCAGAATACTGACCCTATAGTGGGCATGCGGCAAAAATTGCGTATGAGCTAAATTTGGCACTTTCAGATGTTTGTTTGAATGTGTTTTGACTTTACAGATGTATCATGCTTAATTTTCCCGATAAATAGATATCTCGAATGGCTACCTTTTCGTAAAAGGACCAGCATTGAAGATGTAAATTCACCAGGTGCGCTTTGTCCGTTTGTAAGGGAGTATGAGTGTATCATCTGGGTTTCCAAACTTGAAATTACAACTGATGTTGAAGGAAATAACTTGAGATGACTGATCACTGATAGCTCGATGACCATATAGAGGCCGAGTTCTTATTATAATTTTCAAGTGTTTGGAAACCCTGACGCCGTGAAGTAAAAGTTTTTCAAATACCTTCTCAATCGCGCTAATCTTTTGTTTCAATTCGGTGAGTAAGCCTTGAAGATAATAATCGGCACCGTTTTAAAGGACAAAAGACAACAGAATCTGGCCAGCCTAGAAGCTGGTCATTTAGAATCAACCAAGCAAAGGACCATACGTTGCCGGAAGGGCATAGGGCGCCCTGGCCAATACTCTCCACCGCACACTTGGGGCAAAGATTAGGCAATCCTTATCTTCTGTGTATGTATAGTCACTGCTAGGACCAGTCCACAGCTTCGATTCCTGAAAACAGTATTCTTCCCTGTCAGCGAGGCGGATAAGATTGTGGAAAGCATTCAAGATTGTGGTGCACTAAAGTTCATTCATTACAAAAATATGTAAGAACGCGGTATATTTCAGAAACTGTGCGGCAAAAGGCGGCAAAACGAAAAATGGGAGTTAGAGGTTTGTTTAAAATAGGACTTCCGCGAAGTACACTTTGATCCAAAAAATTTTCGAAAGGAATGTTTCCAATGTTTGATCATTTTTAACCTTGCCATTTTATGCAAATGCGTTATAGCTTTTATCAGCCTTAATACTTCAAATAAATTGCATATTGTTGTAAATTTAGTCCTGGAAAACCCACTTGGGAGAAACTGATAAATAGTATTGCATCGGATACACCCTTGATACAGATGTGGGAATTATTGGTTAACGAGTTGACGGCAAAGGAAGCGGAAAGCGTTCGAAGCGAAAGCGCTTAAGAGAGTTTAATTATATATCAGGGTGCATGCTTTAACAACTTTAAAATGAATATTAAAGTAAACAAGTGAAGGAACGTCGCAAAAGTGTTTCTTTGGAATGTCGAATGTTCATTATGAATGTGCAAATTAATAAACTTCATAAATCCCACGAGTTTGATAAATGAATAGCATCAAACTCCTACGCCGGCAAGACCCTCATCCAGTAGGCCTTTTCCATTACACCAAAAATTCTGGTTTGATTTTCCGGAAATTTCCAGCGGTAAATGGAGTAGACTTTCCGTCTGGAATTTCCGAAAATGAAGACGACCTCATGAAGCATGCATTCTCAAATTTTTGAAAACTTTGAACAGGAATTTCCGTTCCATTTGTTGATACACCTGGAATTTCTGGAGCAATATCGATCAAATGATAGTTCGAATGTCAGAAATTAAAAAATTCTTGAATTTTGGGAACCTTTTTCTTGGGATGTAACATATTATTAGCCCCTGTTTCGAAGTTTTGATCGTCGCGCCCAATTTCAGTGGTTTTTAAAAACACATACCAGTGAATTACAGTGTTTCGTGTTTCGACTGGTTTGTCAACTGTCGAATTATGACTGAGTTTGATAAAAGTGAGCCTTGTAAGACTCAATGTACCGATAAATACATGCCCATGTAACATGGAAAGCAATATTCTCTTAACAGCCAAATTGATTAGACGGTTTGCTTTATCTGATGGTGTATTTGGTAATATGACTGTCTGCAAGAATCCTCGAAAACCCTACATCCTAGCTTGGTGTCGCTCCCATATCATCAGTGTAAATGGTAAACTTCTTTAAGTACGGGGGATTTCTTTAATTTCTAACTCAGTAATCAACAACACCTACATTTTTTGCGAAACCTTTTGTCAAATCTTGAGTTTAAAACTGCTATAAATAATTCTTGAAACAAAGTTTAAAGGAAAACTGTTCCACATCAGACCCTCACACAAACGATCTCAGTTCTCGGTTTGCACAATATGTATTAAAAGTTATAGCCGAGGTTTAAAGGAACATTTTTCAACATCAGGCTCTCATAAGCGATGCCAGCTTACGTTGTTTGTTAACTAACGCCGTCTTTCTATCAATCGCAAAGTACATCGTGTTGTGAGTCCATCTCGGCTTGCCGTTCTCTGAATATACATACTGCCATTAAAATATAACACTCAACGAAACAACGTGGTCATAATTAAACTGAAGTTTTTCACTCGCCCTAACTTTCAAACACGCTTCCGCCGTCTTCGTCTTTTTTGTGTATTCAGTCTTTGTGAACTCATGAAGCTGAAGCAAGGGAATATGATCACAATCTCGGGGCTGAACCTAACAATAACAAGTCCAAAATCAAACGGCAGTGCATGCCCATTTGTCGTTCAATTCAAAGACAGAAGAAACGATGGACTGAAGACTGGTGAAGGGTTTGACAACACGCGTAATAAAGTGATCTTTACTAAATAAGTTGACAGTCATCATTCTTGTAGTGTTGGGTACCCTGAAAATGAGATACCAGTCAGAATGATATATTGACTATTCTGGGAAATTTGATTCACCGATGTTAGGAGTCTGTTTGAATAACGAGAAGAAGACTTGAAGACATGATGTCTTCTTGTTTTTCTCACTGTAGCTACGAGTAGCATCATGGGCTTTCTTTCCTTCGTCTACCAGCTTTTTCTCCTCTCAAAAGAAATAATATTTGTCGCTTTTTCCTCTTCTTCTTTACGTAAGAAAAGTTCCCTCAGAATGTCATTGAGTAGAAATATAATTTTCCAAAGTATCATTGAATTTCTTATCTCTGTATTGCTTCTTAAAGCTAACTTAAGTTTTATTTACTGTTACCTTTAGTTTATTTATAGCTAACTTTAGGTTTATTTACATATAAAGGCAAATTTCCATCACAAAGATGAGAATTTTATCTTAGTAACCAGGTGAGCGCGTTTTTTTTTTTATAAACTTAAGACGATATGAAACAATTGCCATTGGGAAACAATTAAATTTTCTCGCGTTAAATAAATGGTGGCTTCAATATTTGTGTCTCTACTTTGTTGAAGAAACGACCTTTATTGCTTATGAAATCTCTCAAAGTATAAGTGTTTTCTCTCACTGAGAGCTTTCATTAATTTTTCTGTCTTCTGATCTGGAAAAAGTTTAATAGTCTAATTACTAACTGAGACAGGTAGAAAATAAAAATCGTGATTTAGACTACCAAGAGGGGATGTGAACTCCAGTTATGTTTTTACATTCAACGTTTTTCTATTGACGACTGATGAAGACGGATTAAAGCGCTGTAAGAGTAAAAATTAATTCTCCTTAGTGTTAAAGTGTTAAGTGCTTTCGTACCACTAGCCAGACAACGCTTTCAAGGAGTTCTTAAAAACGCCGAAAATATATTTTACTATTAAGTGCTCTCAAAAAGCAAGGCATAATAACAAGAACAGTATGTTTTTCGCGCCAAATAGAACTTACACTGTTATTTGTCCTCAACTTAGCTGATTAAGTGTTTTTATATAAAACTTAACATTCACAGGGTTTTACAATCTAGCTGACTTTTATGAATGTATTAAATATAAGTCTTAAGAAGTCTCCTTCATAATTAAGCAATTCCCCTCAGAACTTGTCTTGAAAAAGCAATGAGCCACTAAGTCTTATTTTTTCGTTAAGTTTATGCATGTTGATGTTTTTTTTTCGATAGAGCTATTTTAAACACTTGCGACTTTTATCTCGTTGTTTTTATCTGATGTTTTCATGAAAGGTATTGAAACATGGTGCGAAAAATATCAAGAGTATTCTCATTTCACAGCTTCTCTATGTTGTAAGTATTGTGTACATATCAATATTGAAAACATTTGCCGGTAG